CACCTCTATCTTCCAACTTTGTCAAAGGGAGGGAAGACTCAGTCTACTTATTTAACAACTTGTTTGCCTTTGGGTATTCAAAGCCCCAGCACACACATGAAGCAGATGTGACCTTTTCCCTTCTTGAGGACTCCACACATCTCTGAGGGGTGGGTTTTTCCCAAGACCTGTCTCTTTCCAGGCTTTGCTCCTGGATCCCTCTAGTACAGGCATAGCTTGTTTTATTGTGCTTCACAGATAGTGGGGTTTTTTTGCCTTTTTTTTTTTTTTTTTAAACACATTGAAGGTTTGTGCCAACCTTATATTGGTGTTTTGGCACCATTTTTCCAACAGCATTTGCTTACTTTGTGTCTGTGTTACATTTTGGTAATTCTTGCAATATATCAACCTTTTGCATTGTTTGTTACGATGATCTTTGATCAGTGACGTTTTAAAGTTTGAATCCATTCTTTACTACCTTTCCCCCCATATTTTAGGTACATAGTGTCATACTTCACATAACTTTATTTTGCGAATCCTTTGACTGATTTTTACAGATATTTTTCTTGCTTTTACTTTTTATATTCTTAATTATTGTCTTTCCTTTCCACTCACAGAATCCCCTTTAATATTTCTTGCGGGCTGGTTTAGTGGTCATGGACTCCTTTAGTTTTCGTTTATCTGAGGAACTCTTTATCCTTTCAGTACTTTGACTATACCATGCTACTCTCTTCTGGCCTGCAAAGTTTCTGTTGAAAAATCTGCTGATAGCCTTCTGGAGTTTCCCTTGTATGTGATGGTCTTCTTTTGTCTTGCTGCTTTTAAAATTTTTAATCACTACTTTTTGCCATTTTAATTACTATGTGTCTTGGTGTGGACCTCGTTAGGTTGATTTTTGGGGTGGGGGTATCTCTGTGCTTCCTAGATCTGGATATCTGTGTTTCTTCCCCAGATAAGGGAAGTTTTCAGATATTATTTCTTCAAATAAATTTTTTGCCCCTCCCCCCTTTCTCTCTTCCGGGATTGCTATAATGTTGATGGAGTCATTGAGTTCCCTAAGTCTATTCTCACTTTGCATAATTCTTTTTTCCCCTCACTTGTTCAGTCTGATTACTTTCCATTACTCTGTCTTCCAGGTCATTAATTCATTCCTCTGCTTCCTCTAGCCTCCTATTTATTCTACCATGTGCATTTTAAAATTTCATTTATTGTATTCTTCATCTCCGTTTTAAGGGTCTCACTGATGTTCTCCACTCTTTTCTCAAATCCAGTGATTCTCTTTATGACCATTACTTTAAATTCTCCATCAGGCATATTTTATGTTTCACTCAGGTCTCCTGCTGTGGTTTTGTCCTGTTCTTTCATTTGGGACATATTCTTCTGTCTCATTTTGTCTAACTCTGCATCTGTTTCTATGTGTTAGGAAAGTCAGCCATATCTCTTGCTCTTAAAAGTAATGGCCTTATGAAGAAGCAGTTCTGTAGTTCCCTACAGCGCAGCGTCCCCTGTTCACTGGGACCTGGAGTTTCAGAGGTGTCTCCTATATGTGTTGTGTGTGCCCTTCAGAGGTGTCTTCTATATGTGTTGTGTGTGCCCTCTGTCCTGGCCTCTTTTTCCTTCAGTGCAGTCATCTGCAGAGGCTCTCTTTGCCTATTGTGGGCAGTGTTTGGCCCCCAGCCAGGGTAGGGGTATATTTTAACAAGGTATGCACCAGTTTGCTCGAGAAATGAGACCTATTACCACTGCTGTGAGGAGAGTTCAGCCCTAACGGGATCTGTGAAGTATGCATGGCTGGGCACTCAACCTTAGCAAGGCACGATTCAGGCTTCCACAGGGCCCGGTGGAGCTGTTGTCATAGTCACTGTTGCAGAGACCAAGGGCCTGCAAAATGTGGGTATTGAGAGATGTGGTAGTGGTGAGGTTTGTGCCTATCTTCTTGACCATAGTCCTTTGATACTACTCTGACCATTCTGAGGTGCCATAAACACCTGCAGAAGGCAGCAAACCTGATAAATGTATGTGTTCTGAATGCATCACTGACTGGCCATTCCATCTCTCTTCCTCCCCTCAGGCTTCTCTATTCCCTGTGATACAATAATGAAATTAGGCCAATCAATAACCCTACAAAGGCCTTGGAAGATTCAAGTGAAAAGAAGAATTGCATGTCTCTCACAAATCAAAAGCTTTGTGAGGAAGGCATGTTGAAAGCTGAGATAGGCTGAATGCTAGGTTTCTTGTTCCAAACAGCCAACTTGTAAATGTAAAGGAAATGTTCTTGAAGAAAATTAAAAGTGCTACTCCACTGAACACATGAATGGTAAGGCAGTAAAATAGCCTTATAGTTGATATGGAGAAAGTTTTAGTGATCTGGATAGAAGATCAAACCAGCCACAACATTCCTTTAAACCGAAGCCTATTCCAGAGCACAGCTAGCTTCAATTCTAAGGCTGAAAGAGAGGAGGAAGCTGAAGAAAAGTCTAAAGCTAGCAGAGATTGGTTAATGAGGTTTGAGGAAAAGCTGTCTCTATAACATAAAAGTCCAAGGCAAACCAGGAAGTTATCTGGAATATCTAGCTAAGATTATTAACGAAGGTGGTTACACTAAATAGCAGATTCTCAGTGTAGACAAAATATCTTTCTGTTAGAAGATGCCACCTAGGATTTTGAAAGCTAAATAAGTCAATGCCTGGCCTCAAAGCCTCAAAGGATGGGCTGACTCTTTGTAGGGACTGCTGCAGCTGGTGACTTTGTTGAAGCCAATGCTCATGGACCATTCTGAAAATCCTAGGGCCTCGAAGAATTATGCTAAATCAACTCTGCCTGTGCTCTACAAATGAAACAAGAAAGCCCCGATGATAGCACATCTGCTATCAACATGGTTTACTCAATATTTTAAGCCAATTGTTGAGACCAACTGTTCAGAAAAAAAGTTCAAAATATTACAGCTTATTGACAATGCACCTGGGTCACCCAAGAACTCTGACAGAGATGTACAAAGAGATGAATGTTGTTCTTATGCCTGATAACGTCCATACTGCAACCCATGGATCAAGAAGTCATTTGAACTTACATGTCTGAATATTCAAGAAATATGTTTCATAAGGCTATAGGAGCTATAACCAGTGATTCCTCTGATAGATCCAGGGAAAGTAAACTGAAAACCTTCTGGGAAGGATTCACCATTCTAGGTGCCATTAAGAACATTCATGGTTCATGGGTAGATGTCAAACTATCAACATTAACAGGACTCTAGAAGTTGATTCCAACCCTCAGGGATGACTTTGAGGGATTCAAGACTTCAGTGGAGGAAGTAACTGGATGTGGTAGAAACAGCAAGAGAACTAGAATTAGAAGGAGAGCCTGAAGATGTGACTGAATTGTTGGCAATCCCCTGATAAAACTTGTATGGATGAGGACTTGCTTCTTATGGATGAGTAGTTTCTTGAAATGGTTTCTACTCCTAGTGAAGAGGCTTCTGAAGACTACTGAAATCAGCACAAAGGATTTAGACTATCACATAAACTTAGATGATTAAACAGTGGCAGTGTCTGAGAAGAAAGACACCAATTTTGAAAAAAGTTTTACTGTGGGTAAAATGCTATCAAACAGCATGGCACAGTATAAAGAAATTATTCATGGAAGGAAGTGTCAATCAATGCAGGAAACTTCATTGTTTTAAGAAATTGCCAAGCCACCCTAGCCTTCAGCAACCCACCTCCCTGATCATTAAGCAGCCATCAACATGGAGGCAAGACCCTCCATCAGCAAAAAGATTACAACTTGCTGAGAGCTGATGATGGTTGACATGTTAGCAATAAGGTACTTTTTGATTAAGGTTGTACATTGTTTTTTTAGAAATCACACTTTAAAGGCCATAACATAGTATAAGCCTAATTTGTTTAAGTACTGGGAAACCAATAAATACATTTGCACTTGCTTTATTCGTGTGGTCTGCAACTGAACCTGCGTATCTCCAAGGGATGCCTTGCCTGAACTAGTGTATACCTGCTTGTGCAGTTGATGGAGAAGCCTTGCATCGGTTCTCTCTGCCAGACCTTCAGTGCAGCCAAGGCCTTAGTATTGGAGACACTAGTTGCTTAGTCAATATTCATTCTCCCTTTCTTTCTTAAACCCCAGTTCTGTTTGAGGGGAAAACACTGGCACAGCTAACCATACTTCCTCAGATTCCCTGCAGCTATGGGTAAACTTTTGACTCTGTTCTGGCCAATGGCTTTTGGGAGGAGCTTCTGAGAAAACTATTGTTTTCCTGATAAAAAAGAAGAGATTCTGCCAAAAGACAGTTTTTATTGTTGTTTTGCCTTTCACTCTTCTTTTTCCTCCCTGTACATAGACAGGAAGCTTGGAGGTACAGCCCACATTCTTCAATGATGAGGATGAAGGCCATATCCAAAGGCTGGTGCAGGAGAAAGCCAGAGGGAGACTTTATTATTGACGTTCTCAAACAGCTGCATCAGCCTAGTTCCAGATTTCTGGTTATGAGAAAAATAAACTCCTATTTAGTTTAGATGTTGTAACTGGGTCTCTGACATACGCACCCAAACACAATTCTAATCGACAAAGTCCTCACTTATGTGCAGTTGCTCATAGCTTTTCGCAGCCATTTGAATCAGAGATGGCAAAGAGCCTGGAGGGAGGAAGGGAGCTGCATTTAGAGTCCATGCTCCCTGAAAGCTCTTGATACTGAAATGCTGAGTCAAGTGATCTGTAACATTCATTCATTTACTAAACATTCATTAAGTACCGACTATGTGCCAGGCCTAAAGTGGGTACTGGAAACAAAACAAAAATCTCAACCTTGGCATTTCTTCACGACAATTTCCTTTATGGATACAGGCTGTTTTTGTATGTTATTCCCACGGTCCTAAGAAGCCACAGCGGGAAAGGTTTTGGCTTGGCGAAAGGTACTACAATGCCACAGCATCTTCTTATGGCTTTCAGCATTATAAAAGGGAAACAAACAGGCTAATTTCTAACTCAGAGCACAAGTTCCTTCAGGTTACCTTCAAGTGCGTCATCCTCCAGGTCTGCCAGAGTTGGTGCATTCGGGAGTGAATACACAGAAGACTGGTTGAGTTGAGTCAGTTTTGAGATGCTGTTAATTGCCATGCTGCCCAATGGAATGGTGTGCTCTATGGAAACAGGAGCAAAGAGAAACAGCCTTATTACCATGATCATCATAAGAACTTCTGCTGGAATAACTTAAGCCTGGCTATTGTTTGATCCCAGGGCTAAAAATCTAATGGAAAGTGGAAGGAAGAGGATCAATGCACCATATGCCCCAGAACACCAACCTTTTGTAACAAGAGTCATGAGTGAAGAGACCCCACGGCATGCATTAAGATAGAGTACTGAAGAAAATTTAAAAAGGGGATGCTCAAAAAGAACCCAGAAATCAAGGCTGGGGACCCTGTTTGAAGAGCAAAGGACCAAAAAAATGTTTTTGCTCCCCCCTTCCCTTGCATGAAGGGTTATAATTCCCATAGAAGTAACAGCTTTGGTTATATAACTGACCCATTCTTCTCTTGTAAGTTTTCCATGATGGAAGATTGCTCCCCTTCTAGTTGCCATTTTTTCATACTCATTGCAGAGAACTTGACAGAAGACTAGGAACCAGCCTTGCCTGATTCCTAGTCTTCTGTGATTAGGGTGTAAATAAGGAACAGGTAACTGTATATCTTCCTTATTATATAGAATCCTTGTCATATAGGATGATGGCCACCGGATGGCATACAAAGACTTAGAAATCCAACTGCTGAAAAAAACCCAAAGGCAGTGAAAGAGCTGGTATACAGACTATATGAAGTCCAAGCAGAACAGACCATTATGGAGGGAAATACCAGAAGCTGCCTCTGCTGTTGACTTTAGCTATCCAGGAAATGACAGAAAGGGGGATGGTAAATGGGGACAGCATAAGAAGGCTAGGATTGGGAGGATTAAATGAGAGAAGGTATTAGAATAATGAGCAGGGACTCATTCATGAAAACTTTGTGACTTATTTCTTCTCTGTGGGCCACTTGCAAAGGGGCTTGCCTATCTTCATGATGTAGGTAAGGGAAAACCTGACCATTGGTCTAGTCTCTGTCCATTCTCTCTCTCACTCTAAACTCCAAAGGCCATAGTCATGCTTCAAAGAAGGACTCTTGTGACAGAAGGATCATGATAAGAATGGTTTCTAGGCCAATGGAGGAAATAATTCCAATCTAAAAGTTCATGGTAAATATTCAGTAATAAGCTATAAAAAGTGCCTCTAGCCAGCTGTGAGAGAGACAGAAAGGCTTTGGGAATCATCAAAAAAAGGAAACCAGCTAGACTCTGGCATAGTGGATGGTGGGTGAAGCAATGATAGTATTTGTTGGCTTTGGGGGGAAAATCATAGCTTTTGGACACTGCACTTTAGGAGAACTCATGACAACCATCCAGATACCCAAACTCTCAGCCAGAGAAACATTCCCCTACAGCAAGAAGGTTGACTCACCATCCAGCTTCACACTCCATGTCATGTGGAAGCCATTGGTCATCAGGTAAAAATTCTTCACATCCTCAGGTAGCACACAGTTATTTTTCTAGAAATCACAAAGCAGCTGAGTGTTAGGTCAGGACTGAGAAAGGGCACAGGGCTATGCCCCAAAGCAAATGGGGATAATATTTATGTTTTAGATCCCCAAAATGGGAAGATTCTGGTAATCACCTACAAACTCCATTATAGAGTTCTAGTTCAAGATGGCAATATAGAAAGTTCCTGAACTCACCTCTTCCCATACAAACACCAAATCCACAGTTACACATGCAATAATTCCCTCTGAAAGAAATCCAGAAGCTGGCTTAGCAACTCCTACACACTGGTTGAATGAGAAAAAAAATGCACATTGAAGTGGGTTCGAGAGGCTGAGACACAACTCACCATAAACCCCACCACTGTCACCGGCAATACACAATCAGGAGAGAATTCACAAACCTGATCTCTCTAAGGAGGAAAGGGTGTGAACCCTATATCAGGGCATGCCACCTTTTAAGATCTGCATCTGAGAGATGAGCTTCCCAGACACCTAGCTTTGAAAGCCAAAGCGGCTGGCTCCACAAAATCCACAAGGCTATAAAGCAAATTGAGAAACAGTTCTCGAAGGGCTTGTGCATGCAGATTTCCCATTCCAGGGCCTTTTGTAGAGGCAGCCAACTGAAAGTACCCAGACTTCTTGTGAAAGCAGATTATTTGTTTATCTCACAGCATCCGCCTGAGTGACAGTTACCTAATTTCACACACATCTAGGGGCCTACAGAAATACTGCCCAGGGAACAGGGAGTCTGGAGGGCATCATCTCCACCCTCTCTGCCTTGCTCCATGCCAGGAGTATCTCCCAGAGAAGAGCCTGTGCACCTACCTGATAACACTGGCCTTTGTATCTATTGACTAAGGGACACCCCTTGATTACTTGGTTCTGGTGGCCAGGGGGCTTTCATTTCTAGGTCCCACAGGACTATAACAAAGAAATAGTTCTAAATCGGCTATCCCACTGATAAAGAATAGTTGGAAGAGAGGCAGGCAGGGACAAGCCCCCTCCACCCCCCTAAAAGGAAACCATACTTTAAAGGATTTTACACCACCCTGGAAGGAGCCCTTCACCTTTTCCCCTGTGACAGAAAGAGGACATAAACCTGATTGCAAGACAGGTGCATGGAGGGTTCATTAGATTCAAATAGCCCATCACAAAGCCCATAAAACCCCCTAGACTTAGAAACTCCAGGGGCAACCCTCTCAGCTCCCCTCCCTCTTTAGGAGCTTTGTACTATCACTCAATAAACCTTGCTTTGCTGCCTAACCACTCTGTCTGGTTTATCTCTTCATTTTTCAAAGCAGTGTGACCACAGACTGTGGGAAGGAAAAGAAATCCTGAACCACACCATGGCACAGTACAGAGGCAGCGGACAGGAAAGCCAGTCTTTCCATGAAAGAGGCCTATTAGTAGACCTTTAAAAGTTGTGGCCCAAAGATATGTCCTCTGCCCAGAACCGGGAGGCCTGTGGGCATCATGTTCGCACTATCCCTCTACCATGCTCTGGGTCACCAGCATCTCTGTGGAAGGACCTATGTAAATGTATGGCACTCTGTCTTTTTTTTTTGGCTGCCACCTAGAGGACACAGCTCTCAATACCCCGGCTCCAGTGGCCAGCAGGGCTTATGTTTATCAGTTCAATGGGACAGTAAGCAAAGAGATAGCTCATGACTGGCTATCTACTAGTGTAGAGGGACAAGAGAAAAACATTCATTTACTAGTCTTCCCCGAAAGGTGTATAAAGTTGACCCTTAAACAGCACAGGTTTGAAATGTGCAGGTCCACCTCTATGGATTTTTTTTTTCCAATAAATACAGTAAAGTATTGTACATGTATTTTCTCTTACAATTTCTTAACTAACATTCTCTTTACTCTAGCTTTATTGTAAGAATCCAGTGTATGATACATAAAACATACAAAGTACATGTTGACTGTTTATGTTATCAGTAAGGCTTCCAGTCAACAAGTTTTAGGGAGTCAGCTTATAGGTAGATTTTCCACCATGCAGAGGGGCTGTTGTTCTTAACCCCCTCATTGTTCAAGGGCCAACTATATTTACATACTTAAAAAGCTGCTGCCTGAGGGCCCAGCTTCCAACCAGCCTTATCTAGGTGCTGAAAGAGATCTTCCTCTTTGGAACAGGACAGGTCTCAGCAAGCCTTCAACCACTGGGAGTCATTAAGGACAAAGAAGGTTGCCTGGACAATCACAAAGGTTTGAGAGACAACAAAGAGTAAGGGCAAGGTTGAACAAGGTTCACCTCCAGCATGAGACCATGCCTTCCAGACTGGAAAAAGTGGCTATTTTACCTAATACACAGAAACCAAGGTAGAGGGGGGGAAAAAAAATAGAGTAATACATCCCAAACAAAAGAACATGATAAAACTTCAGAAAGATCTTAATGAAATGGAGATAAGTGATTTACCTAAGGGTTCAAAATAGCAGTCACAAATATGCTCATGTTGACCTCAACAGAGAAATGAATGAACAAAGTGAGAATTTCAACTAAGAGATACACAATATAAAAAAGTAACACACAGACATCCCAGAGCTGAGGGATACAATGATTGAACTGAAAAATACAATGGTGGGGTTCCAGAGCAGACTAGATGAAGTGGTAGAGGGGTCAGTGAACTCAAAGACAGGGTAGTGGAACTCATTTAATCAGAGCAGCAAAAAGAAAAAATTTAAAAGAGTAACGATACCTTAAAGGATTTATGAAAGAACAGAGAGCAAATGAACATTAGCATAAAGGGGTCCTGGGAGGAGAGACAGGGAGAATGGGACACAAAACTTATTTGAAGAAATAATGGCTGAAAACTTCCCCAACCTGGAGAAGGAAAGAGACATCCCACATCTGGGAACTGCAGAGTTCCAAATAAGTAGAACCCAGAGCCCCACACCAGGACACAGAATTATCTAAGGAAAAGGAGACTCTTAAAAGCAGCGAGAAAAAAAAAAACCAACTTAACTTACAAGGGAAACCCATAAAAGACTAGGAGAATATTTTTTCAGCAAAAACTTTGCAAGCCAGAATGGAATGGCACAATATATTCAAAGTATGGAAAGAAAGGAACTGCCAACCAAGAATACTCTATCCAGCAAAATTATCCTGCAGCATTTAAGTAGAGATAAAGTTTTCCAAACAAGCAAAAGCTAAACGAGTTCATAACCACTACACTGGCCTTACAAGAAATGTTAAAGGGACTTCTTTAAATAGAAAAGAGAAGCCACAGCATGTGAAAATTAAGAAAAAAATTTCACTGGTATAAGCAACCATACCCTGATGGTAGTACATCAACTACTTACAAAGCTAATATAAAAGTTAAAAGGCAATGGTAGTAAAATCAGTTATATCTACAATAATCAGTTAAGGGATAAACAAAATAATACAAATTGTGACATAAATACAAAAAATGGGGAGGGGCATAAAAATGCAGTGCTTGTGAGTCAAGATGGCGGAGAAGTAGCAGCTGAGACTACTTCAGGTAGCGGGAGATCAGCTAGATAGCTTATCTAAAGATTGCAAACACCTACAAATCCAACGGGATATCGAAGAGAAGAAGAACAGCAACTCTAGAAACAGAAAATCA